CACAACAAAAGTTATAGAGTCTCTCAGAAAGCCACAGAAAGGAGTGACGTGAGCGTTAGGCCTAAAGCTATGTCTGTACCTCCAAAGGGTCTAATCTAGTTCCAAGGTCACTCCAAGGTCATTACACAAATGACCTAGCAATAAATATATTGCAATTACTTATTGCAATTAATTGCAATGGCAATTCTATTTTTGGAACCCCTGTGGATGACACTACAAAATCATTAACCGAATCATTCAACACAATACAGTAGCTACTTGTTTTCACAAGCTTCCTCATAGCGAACAACAAATGAAACTGAGAACAGGATACAAGAACAGATTGATGATGACAGCTGCCGGAGGCATTTGGCAATTGTGATGTGTTTTTCTTGTAATCCAACGAGGTGAAGCTGCAGTACTTGCGAGCCTTGTTAACCTCAAATGATGAAGAAGACATGATTGGAACTGAAGCAGAGGAAGAAACAAACATTTCGCCAACAATCTACCGCCGTGGGGGCTGAAACGAACGAGCTGGATACTACTGAAGTCAGTGTTGCCCGCAAGGGGAATATTATTGTTTTGCCATCTCCTTGCTCGTTGGCTTCGAAGATCGGCATGAGCGCTGTCGTCCACTGTGCAGACTGAAAGAAATGAGAACATCTGAGATTTCCAGACGACGAAGCGGATGGAGGCAAACTTTTGCCAGCAAATGGAATGAGGTTGTTTTGTCAATCTTCTAGTTCGCTTACAAGTCAGCATGGGCGCTGCCTGTCATCAAGTGAGAAGAGTGAAAGAAATCTGAACTGGGGAGCTTTCAGGCGAATTGCGTGAGATACCAAGAATGCACAACATATGAAGGCACTTGTGACTGTAGCTGATGCAATACAAGGTTTCAGGGGTAGCAGCAGCAATTGCTTGGTGACAATTCTCCAATGATTGATACTTACAAGTCAGCTTGCTTCCTCAAAATAGCGCTCAAAGATGATACATGGAAAAGTAATGAGGAATGTGACAACCCGCCTGGCAAATCAAATATGACGAAAACCTACAGATCATGGCTGAATGGTAATCGGTGTGCACTGTTGCTTGCCCTATCAGGAGTAAGACTGACCAGGTTTCCACTTGTATCTAGGCAACGACCTCCTCCCATGACATCCGCAACAAGGTAGAATACAACATATTAACATTCAACTACAAAATTCAATGTAATTCTAAGCCAGTGTAGAGTTGAATTGTCACTGTTTAGCGTGAAAGTACTTTGATAGGTCCAAATCCACACTAAACATTCACGCAATTCGCGTTCGTAAACGACAAAATCACCCCTTTGAAGTCGTTGAGGATGAAGAACAAGGTTGCATAAATCCAAGCAGATTGGCCAAAAGCTTGTTATTGGATTAGTCTACCGGTACATGCTGATTGGCTAGTTTCCTCATTGTGTTTTAGTACTGTGTAGGCAATTTTGGAGATCGTGATTTTTACCACGAAACAATATGGTACTCACTTAGCCCAATCACTTTTCCAAAACGTCATCCAACATCTCTCAAAGCAACGATGGTGAAGGAAGACAAGAGGCGTACGCAATCAGCTGCAGAGGGGGCAGAAACCCAAGGCAAACATTCATCACCAAACTGGGCCCTTCATGAACCAACTCCACTAATTCCATTTTGCGTCTTTGATGGCCATCACGTCAGTTTTCCTGTTCCCTTGGCCTTCTTTAGCCACCCACATGAGCAATGAAAATCCGTGCGGGAAATCACTATTGCGGCCAATCTGCGTCAGCCTACCCGATGGAACAGCGAAATGGGAGATCGGTGACTCGGAGCAGCAAGAATAGCTAAATGGATGCGCTGACGATGGGACCACTGCTGGATCCAAGGATGACACTCCAGAAGTGGTTGCTGGCTGATTGTAATGATCAATTGTAGTGGTCAAGACGGCTATAGTAATGCCAAGAAGAATAGCATTTGTAGTGACAGGTATTGCAGAAATAGAATATGATGGCGATGGATTGGGTGTTTGTCGTATTGATATGGCTGCTACTGTGGTAATACCGTCGATTTATGTGTACGCATTATGTTACTCGTATAACATGGTACCTGGTTCTATGTACGCATGTCGCACCTTTCCAGCCAGATGCACATTTCCAGCCAATCAAAATGCTCACTCAAACCGAACAAACTGGAAACACATCAAAGAGGAAAATTGAACAAGACAAAATTCCACCTATTGTAGGAGGGTTCTCATTTCCTGCTGTCTTGATTCCAAATCCGGGTTCTCGTGTCAAGTATCATAAAAACTTCGGCATTGTTATTAGATTCTCATCCTCAAACTCATCATCACCATGCCTTCTGGTAAGTTCACCGAGCGAAAATTGTTCGAAATGCAATCAAGACTGACTTTTCGCTTTTATTGCTTCCCCGTTTGGCACCATTAGTCATCTCTCGGTAAGCCAGTATTTGTGAAAGATCCTACTGTACCGTCGTTGTGGTCGTCGCATGGCTGCAATCACCACCTCACCCTCTCTCCACCCTCTTTTACTACAGTTCCGAATGCCTCGACTTGAACGATATTCTAGGCGTCAAGACCTTGCCTGGATGCCACAACATCAAGCATACTCTCAAGCGTGATGATGCTTTCAACACGACCTCTGCGATCGGAGACGAAGAAGTCAAGCATCGATCCTCCTGGCTAATGCCACGCATTGCTCGTCGGTACGAATTTCCGGTCACCCTGCATGCAATATTCAATATCTACTGTCTCCTCATACATCTCGCTTTTTAATGCCGCTGTTCACAGCATGACGAAAAACTCTCCACACCATGTTTCCAAGTGGCGTTCGGAAGTCTTTGTTGATGACTCGGATTGTTCAAGACTTCGTGCTCTTCTTACCGAGAAGATGGGATCTCCTGCGGAGGCCGAAGAACATCTTCCTAGTGCTTGTAAGCGATTGTAAGGGCATTTCAAGATATCGCTTCAAATTCGCGTCATTGAAAAATCTAAGATTATCTGTCATCATCAACACTATTATTACTTGCGAGGGAGGAATTTGCTAGCTTTAAGTTCTAGAGCTGTAGTATTTCTCCATGTGTTTGTGTTGAAGTCTAACTTTCTCGCCCACTTTTTTCAATTTCTCGTTCAAGATAGCCTCTAGAACCATTTCCATCACAGGGAAGGCCATGGCAACAAAAATGGCCAAAAAGATCTCAAACGTCACAACAACGGCATAATTCCAGAATTTCCCCCTGAACCACAGTGCTGCTACCAAAGAAAATACGGCAGTGCCCCCTATCACGAGAGGAGAAGGTAGCTGTGGCGTTGTACTTACTGAATTGTAGGTGAACATTGCTATGACTAGACTCTCTCCAAGCCAGTAGAGAATTCCACTGCCGGTTTCTGCCGATGACTGATACATGATAAGCAATCCTGTCCCAATTAGGAAAGGAGAAATCAGCTCTATTCCACCCTGCAAAGCTACAGAGTGATTTCGAAAAGCAAGGAAACCTAAGAATGCCAAGGCAGGGTACAACAGCCATCGATACCGAACCACTAAAAGCGACGCTATAGCCATCATAACTGAGGACATAAGAGCAAAGCATGAGATGATCCTTCCATGAAACAAACGGCAGGCTAAAATTCAATAACATGAACGACTCCATAGCGTACCTGTTCGAACTCCCAGCTGCAATATTGTGGTGAGAACCATGCTTGCCATGTCGTGCACAATTCCTTGGGAAGTCGTTGGTTGATCTCCACCGTCGGTAGCTGCATTATCATCATGCTGTTCATCGTCGTCGTCCAAATCTAGGCCTAGGATATCGTACTGCTGCTTCAACCTGGGAGTCTTGAGTACCCTCTGGGCCCGATTTAGTAATCGAAAGCTGAGACAAATGGTTAACAAAGAAAGCTGGTCAGAGAACCATTTGGGTTTCATGAAAACACAAAACAGACGATACGTACGTGTCTGCATCACCACCAGGTTTGTCTGCAATATCATAATTTTAAGATTTCAAAATGGGTTAGAAACGCAATGAGTGATAAGCAAACTATACACAATCGTACCAGGATGATGCTTCAAACTAAGCTTTCTGTAATTTTTCTTGATCAAGTCTTCATCAATCTCTGTGCTTGCTGATTTATCTATTTTAAGGTATGCATAATAGCCATCTGGAGCAAGTAGCTGCATCATTGCCTCGGAAGGCTTGCTACCATCGCCATTGGAAGAAGCCATGTCCAATGATATACTCTTCACCCTTGATTGTTTGGCACATTCTGAATTCTGAACTCTCGACGACGCAAAACGACTAACGAAGTACCGAGGCCTTGACACGTGTCAAATACTGTTGCATAATACCATCGAAAATAGCCTTTCATCGGTGTTGTGCAGTAGGTTCTGTAGTGGGCAGCTTTTCATTGCGTTTCCATTATTGCGTGTACTCTTCAGAATAGAAATCAAGATGTATCGACGACGCGCTCTCTTAATAATTGTGTTGCAATCGCTTACGCAATCCAATGTCGGAGCATCAAAACTTTCGGTTCCGTTACAAACGCATAGTATCAGAGTATCCATAAAACATCCGATCTGGTTTCGAGGCGGTGCTCTGTCGGCGTCGGCGTCAGCGTCCTCGTCAAAGAAAAAGAAGAAGAAGAAATCGAAGAAGGCGGCTGGTCAAGACTCTAAGCCGGCGAAAAATGCTATCGCCAATGCGATGGAGAAAGATTCAACCGAAGCTCTCGGCGATGCGATTCGGTGAGACTTGATTGCATCAACCTGTATCTATATTGTATCATTTACTTCTGCTTACTTTACGAAATCCAACCCTCCAACCCAATACTAGCGAACGAGCAGACATCTTGCGTGATGATGATCCCTTGCTAAAATCAATTGAATGGTCCATAGCTTCCGTCGGGTATGCCATGGGAGCTTCGGATCAACGGATGTCTGAAGGAGGTGGTGTTGAAGCAGCAACAACGTCGGTTATCGCCAATTATTTCTTAAAGTCTCACGGGGGGGTTCATGGTTTACAATTTGCATGCAGCTTTCTCGCCAGCATCTCAGGGCTTTGTGTTTTGCTGTTCCAAAACTCGTCTCAAGCGCTCGTCATGCTACAGCGAACTATGATCTTTGCAATGATCAAGCACGTGTCAGGTATCTTCGCAGCTGCTTCCATCGCTGCAAAAGCCATTCCTAAGATTGGCTTCAGCAACGCAAGACAATGGATGGAGAAACTTGTTCTCGATCCTGTGTCACAATATGTCTTCTTTACTGCTCTGGTGCTGGTTTGGCTCCCGTCTATGGTAAATTTGGATTCGTGCTGGTGGTGGGGAAAGACCCCTCTTATGTTTGTGCTCGTGGGCCCCATTTTGAGTCGAGAAATCATTTCCAGTGCGCTAGTCGTTGCAGATGTTCTTGTTTTATTGAGTATAAGCACAGACTCGAAACTGGTGGATAGCGTGCTCAAAGTTGCAAACTCAACGGTCAATGCAATCATGAGCTTGTTAGGCTCAGCCAAGTCATGGAGGACCGCAGATCCAAGCAAACGGCAAGCTATACTGGCGAACTTAGTTTCAGACACGTCACTCGGAATGGAAGTCGGTGTGGGCCTGTTGATGCTTGCGGATACAGTGTATTCGCTGTCAAAGTTCGCATTTGCAAGTGGGCAGATTCGTCCACCATTTCAGGAAATGCTCTCAAAACTTTTGTGCATTCGTCTCTACATCCATTTTTTGTGGATTAGGCGGAAAAAGATTACTAAAGTTTCGATGAGCGTCCGAGGTGGTGCGCTGAAATTTCCATTTTGGTTCTTGGACATTTGCGACCACCCACTAAGTGCGATGGGTATTGCAGATGATGGGATTGGAAATGGAGTAGAGTCTCAACTCCAATCGTGGAAAGACTATGCCAGGACAGCGCTCGCCTTTTAAATTAAACATCTGATGCATTCTATTCTCTTCACATGTTTGTGTTTCCAAACACGACGCTGATTTTTCTATGGCTGTCATGTTTGCCACATGCTTCACATCTTCTAACCCTCTATCTGGCTGAAGATTTCATCTGTTTCGCTTGGTTCAAAAACATGGCAGCTATTTGAGCGGAAGTGGTGGCAGACCAGGGGGCTTTATCCGGCCTTCGCCTTTTGAAACGAGGGAAGCGTAGAGCAATGCCCCTCCCATCAGGGTCAGGGACAAACCCCGCTCCCGCGGTGTGCTGACGAGACAACGACATGTCAGCAAAGGAGATTTCCCACACTTCAACAGGCTTGAACCAGAGTGGTGGTTGCTCGTTGGTAACAATGAATGCAGACGTTGGTCGATTTGCAAAACAGTTGCTTGATACATCGTCGAGAAGCTCCTCTTCTGAAGAGTCTTTTGAGTCTGCCACTGCTGCAAATGAAGGGTCTTGCAGGCCCTCGTCTTCGCTGTCTTGAGTGCCTATTTTTTTGTTAGTCTCATTTTCAATAGGCGAAAGATCTGATGGATAGGGAATTCCATGCTGATAAAAATTTCGCATGGCTGTATACATTGTATCAGTAAATGTCATGCAGCGACATATCGATCTGTATACATCTTCATCTTCATCGTAGACTGCAAGTAGAATGGGCGATAGAAAGCCTTTTTCAGCTTTTCTGCCGGTTCCATGCCTTCGATGTGATTAGTGAAGCAAAAATTGGATCTACACTGCAACAATAAATACTAACCATGCTCCGATAGGTACAACATCAATGGTGTCAGCGAATCCTTCAACATAATCCCCCTTCACTTTCAGCCAGCTTTGACTCCGAGTTCCAGCTTCGTAGTCGCCTCCCAACATTTTCACCATTAGCCCCTCTGTACCCTGACGCATTGATTCGCCAAGATAGTCTGTAACTGCATGTTCGTCAAAGGTTTGCAATATTTTGGATGAAACAAATGCAAAATCATGGGTTTCATTGAAATGCTCTCGAAGGAGATCCCGTCGCTTCCACAATGGAAGCGCCACGCACGATTTACCATCCAAGTACATGAGATCGAAACAAAATACTTTGATTTTCACGCCAGTGCCGTCATCCTTTTTCTTCCTGGTTGCCAAATCTTGAAATGGCAATAATCGAGTGCCTTCCACAGCAACAATTTCAGCGTCAATTATGAAAGAATGCACTTCTTTGGATTTATTTCTTGCATCAAGAATACCACGAACAGCATCTGGATACTGCGCGGTTGTTTCAAGCAAATGGCGGGAATATAAACTACACTTGGCTGCATTCCCATCACCAAAATGTGCTTGACACCTGACACCATCATATTTCCATTCCAAAATAGCACTTTTTTGCAGCTTTGTCATCGCTTGGTCAATTTCGGCTATTGAATGAGTTGGAGTCGCCAGCATTGGGGCGATTGGAGTGAATAACTGCATTTTGCAATCATTTTCCATTTTTTCGAACCCACCTAGAAGCAAAGCTCGAAGGATTTTTTCTAAATTAGGGCAGATATCGTGAGTCTTTTGGACCAGCTGGATCGCAGCTTTTTCAGTGAAATCTTTTTCTTTTGCAGTGAAATCTTTTTCTTTTGAATGGGATTGAAATGCCATTGCAATAGCTGCAAGCACTGTCTTCATATTGCAACCGATTCTCATGTTTCCGATGAGCAAGCGAACCATGAAGCGGACCTCATTTCTACTTTGACACAAACGCAATAGTTTGGAAACAATGGATTTCTTTGCATTCTTTCCTTCCGCAACTGTGACCTTTCTCAGAGCGTTGAGTACTTCGACAACTGAGACGCTCTGCAGAGGATTGTGAGATACAAAATATTTCTTCGATTGAAAGAAGCTGGCTGCAGAATCTCCTAAGTCCCCATACTGTCGATATCCCTTTGATAATTGCCTCGATGAAACTCCCAGTGAATCTTGTAACGCAGAAGATACTGTTCTACCACTAACCCCAAGGCTTTCTTCGACAGGGTTGCCCAAAACAATAGATAGCGCACCTGTCAACCTAAAGGCGGCTCTTCTTTCATCGGACTCATGTACATAGCCTGAAATGAAATCCTTCAGTGCCTTCAGCTTTAATGTTCTTTTTGTTGTGTCAGACGCCTTTTGCAGAGTGTTTGCTAGGTTTTCAAACGACATTTCAAGAGAAGCTTCAACGGGATGATGACTTTCCTTACTTTTCGTTTTCGTGGGCGCGATTGATGATTTTTGGGTGGAACATTTGATGCTACTCATACCACCAGAGTTGCAGACGTCGCCTATGGCTTTGATCGATGATGGCACTGTTGGCGATGGTTTGTGTCTATTACTCTTAAAAAACGAATGAATTTGACCATCCTTCAACCGCTTCTTTGGAGAGTCTGTGGAAGAGACGCGTGCGATCACTCGTTTTTTGCTCTCATCTGTATCACTTTCGTTTGCAGATGGAGGGGCCCCATGGCTTCTTGTTGGATTCAACCCTTGTTTCTCGTCTCTTGCCTGATGAAGGTGTAAGTCGACAGCTCTTTCCAAAGATCCATTTGTTGCTTCCAAAAGTTCTTTCCCTCGTTGCTCGGAAACGTTGCAGATTGCTTGTAGGGCCGGGAGGCATGTAAACAAAAAAGAGGAAGAATCTGGTGTATTAGACATCAGACATCAGACAACAATGGACAACGGAATGGTGCGGAGATATTGTGGTGACTAATATACGGTAACGTCTGGACGTCCCTTCACCATATAAACATATCTTATCGTGGATAGAATGATGCTTCATGGCACAATATCATGGCATATTTCACTCCAAGAACACATCAAGGACACGCAAAAAGAGAAAAGAGGGAAATGCTTCAGCCAGCTTGGGGGCATGCATCCTCTGGAGACAACACGATGTGTCAGCTACCGTGAATCGTGGCGATTGGACCATGGGGCATATCTTCGACGCCTACTAGTACTAGTAGTACTAGGCTAGCTAGTTTTGGTAGTACTTCAAGAAGAAGTTCTTCCTTCCCAAAAGAGGTGGTCAGTCTTGCAAGGACCTACATCGTGCATCCTCTAACCCTTGCCCCAACAATGAGACGATATTGAAAGTACTCCAACCATTTTGGTCAAGGAGATGAAGTAACAACTCCCTGTCATATCTTGGGGGGAAGACCTAAAATAGTTTACTAGAAATGATTGATATCATTTTCTATACTTCGTTGTTTGGATGTGAAGTACTAGTGCATGTGCCCCCCTCAATTAATTGACTTGTAGTATTTCAATAGATACCAAGATGGCTGCCGATCTGATACTTAGGAGAGAATATGTCTGGTTGATTCTAGGGGAAGAAGTGCCAAGAAAAAAGAACATGAAAATAAAAGATTCACAGTCAACTAATCTCTTATATTATACTGTGGTCTTATATTATACTATGGAGGCCTGAACCACCCGACTGGAAGGTAGGGACGGATCACGGACCCCTTGAAGAAGATGAAGGATAGCGTGTTTGATGGCTGGGTCAGTGACTTGAACGCCCAGCCATTGGTCCAAGATCACCGTCCGGCGATCCCATTCCGCACTCTCAGAGGGCACCATGCATCGAGGGACATGAAAGTGGTCCTTGAACTCGCCGCAGCAGGGGCACGTAGCTGAGTCTGCGGAACCCCACCGGACTTTGAACTTCCCCACACCACACATACCCACAACATGCTTTGTAGTCCAGCATTGGAAACCTGCCGGAAGGGAGCTCATGGCGCGAGCCAGACTGGTCCAATCGGTCTCAAGCTCTGCCTCCGGTGTAATCGTCTGCCGCTTGTGCCATCGCTTGCGTAGAGCAGGCAGCGCCACCAGTTCCTGGATATGCTCTGGATTCAATCGCGACTGTTTGACGTCACCAATGTAGAGGGCAGCCAATTCGGTAAAGAAACGAGCGTTGGGTGCAATCAGTTGGTGAGAAGCTTTGAGCTGGTGACAATAAGCAACCGCCCACTCATCCACTTCCACATTCCGTTTGGACCACCAAGAGAGGCACGAAAAGAATGTCGCCTTATCAAGGTGACCGTACACGTGGCTAGGTTCCCACAAGGCCCTGTAGCGGGCAAGTGCCTCTCGGATAGAGGAGACCAGGTCAAACTGGGCTTGTTGCGGTGTGACTTGATTGTCAGTAAAGGTGTTGAGCAACGCCGGAAAACCATCGGTGGTGATTGAAGTGTTGGGGCCCACTGGTCCAGCCAATCAACCACCATGATACCGGCCAGTAGGCCAATCAATTCACTCCGATACGCGCTCTGGTCACCAGGTAGGCCTGGAGTTTGGCAACGAACAATAATATGTTCCTTGCCAGCCTTATGTGGGAGCAGTTGAACTGCCGCTGTGCCCAGACCTAGCTTATAAGAACCGTCGCTGATCACGCACAGCCGGTCTTTGAGTAGGGCTTCAGCAAGAAGGCTTTCGTCGCCGTCGATCTCTGTTTCTTCAGGGGTCCATCCAACATACTCGGTCACCTCGGCTGAGACGGCCATCCAGGCGGCCAGTAAAGACGGTTGGGAGTCGTGGTGCGGCTGCAGCGGTTCTGTCCCAATGCCGGTGAGGGCAAGAGTACCAAGTGAAGGCGTAATGTGAAGGGTAGCTCGGCACACGTCCTCTGAGAGTGGTTGGGTCCAAAAGGGAGCCGGTAAGAAGCAGGCTCCGTTGTCGGCGGACTCATTATGTGGTTGATTGCGCCCGGGCAATTGATCAGAACGAGTATAGTCCCATTGAAGGCTCCGCGTGGGGGAGCGATGGTGACGGTAGTGTTGCCAACGGTGGCCCTGGCGGTGGAACAATCCTTGGGTAGAAGACCATAACCAGTTCCAGTTGTCGAGAGGATCAAACCATGGGCCCAGTGGATGACGCAGGAGGCGCTGGGTTCCGTCGGAGACCAGTAGTGCTCGAGTAAGGTTCTCCTGCCACACCCTCCAGTGGTTCCTGTTGGGTCGGACAGTGGGAGGCCATTGAGATGAAGAACGATGAGTGTAGTCGCGTTCCCCATGCCATATTGACTCCCGGAAGCTGCGGCCGTTAGCCGTCACAATGTCGGAGATGGTGCAAACTTGGAGGAACATGCAAAACCAGTTGAGCCACTTCAAAGCGTCCTGGTCCACTTCCAACTCCATGAATACCTCAATGAGCAAAGCATCGCCTTCACACCGGAGAGGGAGGACCGGAGTCTTGAGAGCAACGTAGTCCTCCAACTCTTTCCAGACTCTTTTGAGCCAGGTATCTGACGCCAAAATTGCCGTGTTGCTGTACGAAGGAGGTGCCGGTCTCAAGTTGGTGTTCTTGAACCGCAGCCTCCATATACGCCCCAGTTTTTGTTCAGTTGGACGAGTGGCAGAGCAGAACCTCAATATGTTTGGAAACCTGAGTGCCAAACGGATGGGGGATGCCCAGACCCTGGAATTTGAGAGGGGCAAGAACCATGTCGCAGGGGAAGCTGCAGATGCCGGCTTTTGGCAAACAGACTTGGAGAACAGGACTCATAAATCGACACCCATGTTGCAGCGTCCAGTGCAGTTAACACCATAGGATATTCCAAAGATTGCATCACCGTTGTCTTGATGAGGGGAATAACATCACCGCAACCCAATGGACGACCCGATCAAAACAAGACTTTGTGTCATTTGAAATCCATCCCGCTGAGCGGCGCTGGAGAATCAGCAGGTCCCACACCAGACGTTTAGACAGCAGGGCAAGATCGATTGCTTGATGGTTCTTTCAAGACCCGCACTGACCATCAGCCAGGAGGTGATGTTCTTCACCGTAGGCCATGGCCAGGCGGCCCAGTTTCTTGTAGTTCGCTTGAGATTCAGAGTTCATGAGCTGAATCGTACGCATTTTTGTCAGCCAAAAGTCTCCTGGCTTCTTTTCAATAGCAAAGTTCATCAGATGCCACCAGTTGTCAGGGACGAACCCAGTTATCAAAGGTATGTGGTGGAAGAGAGCGTCACATTGGGCCACCATAGGAGAATAGATCCCAGCCTTGAAATGACCATTATGTAGCCCGTGCGTTTCCGAGCCCTTATTCTCTGGATTACAAGACCAGAAGCAAGTATGATCCTCAGGCGACACTTCCATCGGGATCATGGAGTGCCCTCGATGGAACCGGCACTGCTCCAGGAATGGCTGAGTGTAAGAATCGATCCCATCCGGCATTGGAGGGCGGCCCTCCAGTAGGGCGAAGGAGTTCCTCTCTGCGTCCGCCCCGTTGAACATCTAATACAGGGGTTCGTCCATGGGAGGAGTCGTATAGGGCGATCAAGTCTGATCGTACCGTGCACAATTTTCCTGCATGCACCCTTGCTCAACTTGTCTCACTTTTCTGGTAGGTAACTTCTCCTCAACTTGAATCGCTTGCAAACCACCGGTACATCCTTTTGACTGGGCGCGGCGGCGGCGTCTTGCCTCCTCTCGTTGCTTCATCCGTCGTAACCTCAAAAAGCGATCTCTAGCCTTGCGCGATGTCCATTGTTTCTTCTTAGATTTCTTCACTTGAACAGTCAAGAACTCCTTGCGCCATGTAACTGTGTGGTTTTTCCTGGCATGCAAGTACTCTTTCCTGTCATTACGCAATTCCGTCTCCAATTTACTCGTAGTCTTCTTCCAGGCGCCGGGTAACTTGGTCTTCTTCATGAGTCGACGGATTTTCTGCGAGGTAACTTGACACTGCTTCCTTCCCTTCAGCAGTAGCTTCCACAAAGGAGGGAAGTATGTCCTAGTTGGGGAAAAATAGGGATTTAGTTTTGGGAGATGCAAAATGGGTCTGTTTCCCAAAAGTTTCCTAAAAATGTTTCCTAAAAGTTTTCCTAAAAATATCCCGATATATGTCCCTTTTCTACCCGGAATTTCCGGCAGGTATTCCATAAAATAGGTGATGAATATTTGAAAATCGTCGTATTTTTCATACTACGCCTACGATGACGGCACATTTCCGCTTGGAATAACCAAAGATCGAAGAACTGACTGTAGTAGAGGCATTTTTCGTCCGTTTTGGTACCGTTTTTGACGGGAGCTAGTTTCATGTTGAGATGCATCGTATCATACATAGTGCGTGTCATCATTGTTTCCATCGACAACACTTCGATCACGAGCCTCCAACGAGCAACAAGAG